ACACATAGTGGATGACAAAAGAGAAGGAATATTACGCTGAGAAACAGAGGGTGTGTAGAAAGTCCCCCAGGGTTCCCAGAGACTGAGAGAGGGTGGGAAAATAACACAAAGACTAAGGATAGGTTGACCTAGTTTGGGCAAGGCAAAACAAACAACCTTGTCTACAGTGAGAACAAACACTGGGGACTGGTGGAGAGTGATAGAGGACACACATTTGATACTGTCCTCTGGCCTCTGCAAGTACACACACACACACACACACACACACATACAAACACACAAACACACGCATGTACACACATACACACATGCACACACTAACATACACACATGCACACACACTGTAGAAACTGGGAGAATGGATAAAGCTATAAAGTGATGGGATACATACAACCGGGATAGAAACAACAAGAAAGGAAAGGAATGAAAATGTAGATTTAAAAAGTATGACAGAGATAAAATGGACAGACTGTAGCTGCCAATGAGAGTGTAAGGGGCAAGAAACAAGAGTCTAGGGACACTCTAAGTGCCTGGAGAACGGGGATTCATAGAATAAAGCAGCTAGAAGTCAAGTGAGGTCCCCAGAGGGCACAGGGCCTGTCTCCAAAATGAGTCACCCCGATAGAGAAGCCAAGCAAGACACCAGTCATGTGGACCTGGAGATTTCTGAGATTCTTGAAGCATCTTCACAAAATCTTTCCTCCAGTGAGAGAGGTGGGTGAGGAGGTCCTAGGAAAGATCACAGGGACAGAACAGCAGAAGGAGATAGAGACGGCTGATTGGGAAATATCAAGATTTGGCAGGTCAGTTTTCATATAGTATAAGACCAGAGAGAAAACAGGTTTATTCTCTCATTGACTCATAAAATCCTATCAGATAGATGCTGGGATGTGCATGCACTATAGACCACCAGGAAGCCCCCAGACTTCATAGGTGTGGGGGTATCTGGTCCTCTGGACAAAGACAGCAGCTCCAGAACTGGTACCATGAGGGTGGAGAAGTGGAGGGTACAGTACTGAGTCATAGGGCATGTCCCCCAATGCCTGGGGCAGCTCAGGTGGCACTCCCAAGTCTAAATTGTACGGATTTCCATTATAAACAGCTGTGGGTTCTTTGTTCTCCAGACCAGTCTGACTGGTTTGTGTAGGGAATGTCTTAAAACTGTGAGGTTCCAAGTCCTTATCCATCTCTCTCAGGTGAGCGCCTTTTTCCTCTCTACAGAAAAGAAACTGCCTCACTATTTCTCCCCATGATCTCACACCAACTTCTCCCCTGTTCATTATTAAACACCCTCTCTGGCCTCTATGCTTCAACATTGTCTTATGTAAGCTAACTAGAATCACTCAAAGCCATGGGATGACGTCGAAGGGATGAAAACAGGCATTTTGTTGATTGAAGTCTCCATCATCAAAATACATTGCATACATGCATGAACATTTTGAAGAATAAATAAATGAATGTTACTTATAAAAGACTCCATAATATAAATAAAAAAGACCAGGCATATAAATAAATGCCACTAACTGTAGCAAAAAGACCCAGTGCTGACCAAGAGCAAAGTCTTGAGCAGAGTAAGCCCTTGAACCTGAGTGAGATCATGACATCAAAGCATCCTGTACAATATCAGGAGGCTCGGAGATGTCTGTGTGAACCCATTCAGATGTATGCATTGAACTTTAAATACTTGAGGGAGAAATAAATGAGGCAATGCCCAACAGTTCTGGAAAAAAAACCCTCACATGAATTTCTTACAGGAACATGGATGACACTTCAGAGATGAGAAGGGTACACGGTGAGACCATTTTTGCTGGAAATAACTCGTGAGTTTCCTTGGACCCAGAGACATAGCTAGGCAGGGCCTGGAACTTGCAAAGTACAGCACTCCACTGTATAGGATTCATGTACATTGTAAGGCATGGAAAGATGGTGATAAATGTCAGGCAAAAGGACCATGGAATAATTTGGTTTTATGTTGTTTATTCTGTATTTCCATAAAATAAAGGATTTAAAACATTAGCTGCTACATTCTGGTTATAGTTCAGGAAAAAACTTTATAAGAAACTTTTAATTTTACTAGAAAAAATAAATACCTGAGAGATCTAGAGAGATAATTTAGACATTAGAAGATTATATTGCTCTTTCAGAGTTCCAGGCTTAGATCCCAGTACAGACATGACAGTTCAAAATGGTACTCTATTTAACTCTAGTTCCAATGGCCTCTACTGACCTCTGATGTGGGATTCCCCTTTGTTGTTGTGAATACGATTGGTTAATTAGTGGGACCAGGATTTATCCCTAGTGCTTGAACTGGCTTTTTGAAGCCCATTATCTTTGGAGGGATATTTGTCCAACCTAGATAGAGAGGGGAGGGCCTTTGGTCCTGCCTCAGATTGATGGAGCAGACCTGAAGAATTAAATAGAGGATGCAAGCAATTAAATAACATCATCACCACCATTACATCCCAATACATATGGGTAATAACATATAGTGTAGTCATAAAAGGTTCCAACAAAGGAACGAAGCCAACAGTATAATATAAAATGAAATAAACTGTAATTCCAGAAAACAAAAACAAAACAGGGAAGAGTACTCTGCAGTGGTATGGTTTCTGCAGACACTATGCCAACACGAAACATTACTCATCGTAAGAGAATGTCCATTGTTTCTATTGAAATTCGACCTACCAGTAATATGGCATGTGTACTATCATCAGAATATTCATATTGTCTCCTTTACTCATTTTTCTAACTTTTATTTATTATTCTGTGTGTGTGTGTGTGTGTGTGTGTGTGTGTGTGTGTGTGTGTGTGTTCGGGTAAGTGGGCATGCGTGTGCCTCAGCACGTGAGACGTCTGGGATAACTTTTGGAAATTAGTCTCCTCCTTACACCACGTGGGTCCTGGGCATTGACCTCAGCTGGACAGTACTCAGTTGCAAGTTCCATTACCCTCCTAGCTCTCTTGTGGGCACCTCGTTTCCATTTTTACATATCAATTCTCCATCCTAATAATCAAAACTGGGAAATCTCATGTGACTAGTTATGACTACCCAAGAGCAAGGACTCGTTAGATTTTTTTTTCTGTGAAAAGTGTCAAGTATCGCAAACAATGAGGTAATGATACAGCCCCCCAACTCCCCACCCAGCACCAACAACTGTCAGCCCTGTTTTGTCTCTCTTCTCTTTTTGCTGAGCTGTGGAATTCTCATATACAAAAGCACATAAGCTGTTTGTGTTTAAGCTCACCTATGTTTCCCTAGTATAAAACATTCATTCCATTTCCATAGTTAGCATCCCGATTGCTCATGGCCAGGAAGTAAATGCCTCGTATCCTAGCCTCTGCTACAACGATGCTCTTTTCTCCCTGATTCCAGGGACTGGTACTCAAATCACATAGCATGGCAGGAATGGCCACCTAGAATCCAAAAGGGTCCCAACATAGCTGTGAGGGTGGTCCAACACATTAGCGGATTACATACCAGTGCCGTGTCAATGCGCTACAAGCCTTGCACTGATTCTCCTCTGCCGGTCTCTGTACACCCATAATGCATTGCATTCTATGTAAAAATATTGTCTACATTCATTCTACATTAGCCCTAACCTTCTGCCCCCTTGTAGAAGCCTATTCCCTACACAAGGATAAGAACTTCTGCTACTATCATCTCTCCAAACTCTTTTATTTTCTGTTTTTTTTTTTAATTTTTAAGATAGGATTTCTCTGTGTATCTCTGGCTTTCCTGGAACTCACTCTGTAGACCAGGCTGGCTGGCCTCGGACTCACAGAGATCCACCTTTCTCTGCCTCCCTAAATGCTGGGATTAAAGGTGTGCACCACCACTGCCTGGCTTCTAACACTATCAAAATGGTGCGCCTGCCCTGGCCACCAGGTTGCCTGCCCTGGTCACTTCACCTATAATTATTTCCCTTGTGTTTCTTATGAAATTCAAACAAGGTCTCTTTCCCGTTTATCCCATCCCGTTTATCTCCCTTTCATGATACGATTTTTATTAGTTCTCTGCCATGTACCAAGCAATATACTACTGAAATGTGCGTTCCATTCACAGTTAGACGAGGCTGGGGGATATGACAGTACCTAAGATGCATTCTGTTCACCACAGATTTCTTGAATGGAAGAAAAACGAGCAAACCAGAGGTGAGTGTCATTCCTGCTGGCACCGAGTTCAAAAAGACAGGACACAGGCCGGTGGTTCTTCCTATCCCTTTGCAATGGGAGGGGGAGACGGCTGTTTGTTATTCCTGACATTGCAATAGAAGTCTAAACAGAAGTTGTCCCTGTGCCACCGCAGTAGACCGAGTGCTGGAACACTGTTCCGGAATTAAACTATATGATTTCCAGCAGCCCTCCCAGCAGAACTATACATGCACATTTTGGGGAGACCATAGCTGAGTTCTCACAAATATCCATAGCAGAACAGCAACTTAGCAACATCAGATTCTTATCCAAAGGCATTACTGAATGTGCTGGGCTTCAATTTGGGGAACAAGAATTTTTTTTAAGTACATAGATAGACCCATGCAGGTAACTGTATTGTTTACTAATGGGGCTTGAAGGTTGTTAGCTGATACTGAAAGCAATAAACACTATTATTGCAGAAACGATGACCTATGACACTTCTAAATTCCACCCTGCACTTTCACCCATGCTGCCTCTGCCCTATTCGTTTTGGCAAAACATTGAAAAGATTAACCATGCCTTTTTATTGACCCAGAACCTGTGCGGAGACAGCCTGGACTCGATCCCTCCGATTCTGAGTCTGAATCCGTCCTTGTGCCCAGGCACCTAGCTGATATTCCCGTGTGTGTTGCGGCCAAGATCAAAAGGGAAAAGAAGCGCTCAGGGTCACGTGAGTGTCAGTCACCACAGGTACTGAGCTGCGCTTGGGGCCGGCCAGGTGTGCCCGCCCTGCCCTGCGTCTCTCCTGCTTAGGAACAGACACGCCACGAGAGACTGGAGAAGAGCGAGGTGAGGGACAGGAAGGTCATCCCGATCCCAACCTCACTCCCCTGGAACGTCCGGGCGCAGCGATTGCAGGGGACCAGGACAGCACGGCCACACTGCCTGGGGCTCCGCCGCGCGTCCGCGCTGCACCGAGCCGACTCCCAGGCGCCGCGGGCTCGAGGTCCCAGCCAAGGGAGAGGTTCCCGTGCAAGCCTGGGGCGCGCGGCCTCGCGGATGTATTCCAACTTCTCTACGGAGCCGCGCTCCCGTCCTGCGCGCTCCCGCTTACCCTGTCCCCCCCCCCCTTTTTTTTTCTCCCTCTCTCCACCACTCCTCTTCCTTTTATTCTCTCGCTTCTAGGCCGACGTGTGTAAGTTGCATTCTGGACAGTCCCAGCTGTGATGCTGAAGAGCTCTGAGCCAGCGCTCGGCCGAGCCTCCGGTTAGGATCCCGGGCAGAGACCGCCCCCGACCCGGCGCTGACATTATTCTGCACAGCTCAACGGCTCCTCGCGTCTCCGCTGCCCTAGTTGTGGCCGCTCTGCTTCCCCTAGGGACTGGGGTCGTGGCAGACTGCCCACGCGCCGGGGATCTGCACGCCTGGGTGAGTCCCTGGTCTTCCTCGGCCATCCCGGTTGCCGTGGAGAACCTGTTTACCTTGCAAACTTGAGACGTGACCAAAACAGACCAGCCTGCCTTGCAGTATGTGTTTCCGATGGATGGGCGGATAATTCGGTGCTCAGAGCCCAAGGGGACATGCTCGGAAGCTTAAAGGTGAAGATGAATTCGTGTTTCTGGGTGCACGTGTAGCTTTCCCTTTAAAAGCCGTGACTAGGGAAATGATTTTCTGCCCAGCAGGAGGCGGGAACTGAGTTAACTTGCAACCTGAAAGTTTCCAAAGCTGAGGATGAAAATACAATTTATTGGAAGGAAAGTCAAAATAGAATGATGCATTAGCTTGGGCTCTTTGAGGTAAATAACATACAGAAAGAGGCAAGGTTTTAAACACCTTCCAATCAAGCCTTTCTTGTATCTTAGCGGCTGCGCATGGAATCTTTTCAATGCACTTAGTAAATTTCGTGCAGGAAAAGACGAGAAGAGATGCGTATCCTTGGGAGATGAAGGTTATGGCCAATTAGACTAAGTGAGGATTGGCATTTAACACTTTATTTCCCAGCTAAAAGCACGATTATTCACACGACCCATTGAGCTATCTTTCTGCTTCCTGGAAAAGGAGCGATCATTTGTATTGAGGTTTAGCGAAGGGAAAGTTGTGGGGTTTTCAGAGATCAGTATCTCTGCCTGGCCACTAGGGCAGTGTTAAAGCTCTGGTGTCTGGTGCCTTAGAGTCAGTTGGGGGAGGGTGTCTGGGGGCTGAAGATCACTGGGGAGATGAGCCTGCTACTCTTGTCCAAGCGCCTCCACTGACTGACTGGTTGTGGCATCTTATTTAAAAGGAGATGGACAAGTTGAAAAGTATCTCGTCACCAGGAAGCCATTCATTCTGGAGAACTGCTGTTTTATCAGTTGATGCCTTTGGGCACATTTGTAAAGAGAGCTCTCTCTCTCTGTGTCTCTCTGTGTCCCTCTGTCTCTCTCTCTCTCTCTCTCTCTCTCTCTCTCTCTCTCTCTCTCTTAGGCCCCTTTCCCCATTCCAAAGAAATGCTACTTCTAGAAAGATCTGATTAGGGTACTGACACTCTTTGGAAAGAGTTTGTCCTTGGGCGTGCGTCTTAGTTTAGCTTAGGTACAAAGGTACCTCGGGCATTTTAGTAATTTTTTATTTACTGAAAGGATGGCACCATTGAAAGTGCTTGGTCTGCGTAGTTAAGAACTTAACCTGATTCTAAATGTAGGGGTCAGGTGGCACTGGGTTCTCAGGAAACCTTAAGCCTCTGTTTTTGTTTTGTTTTGTTTTTCGTTTTGTTTGTTTGTTACTGAAGGTTGAGAGGACTGTAAAGAAGAAGTGCTAACTGGGCATAGTTCTGAAGGGTAGGGGCGTTTATGCTTCTTTAAGCATGGCCCTCCAAAGCTTGATGCCTTTGACTATGAAGGAATTGTCGCTACCTTGAACAAGCCACAAGTAGACTTGTTGGCTACACACAGCATCTTTTTGTTGGTTTGTTTTTCTTTTTTGAGACAGGGCTTCTCAGTAGCTTTGGAGCCTGCCCTGGAAGTCGCTCCATAGACCAGGCTGGCCTTGAACTCACAGATATCCACCTGGCTCTGCCTCCCGAGTTCTGGAATTAAAAGCATGTGCCACTACCGCCCACGCACACACAACAATCTGACATTGAGAGAAAAGTTCACGGTGACTTTCCACCAAGGATTTTTAAGCAGGATTCCAACAAAAGATGTCATTGAAATTAGTCCCAGGCAGAGTGAATTGTTGCGACGGGGCTGTCAGTGATCTTCGGTTTTCTCTTGTAGATGAATACTGTTCTAAAAGCAGAGGCACAGAAGTGTGGAGAAACCTGGGGAAGCTGACAGAGGCTGCAGGGAATCAAGCTGACCTAAGTTCAACTCTGACATAATTTGGTCCCTGGGAGCACAGAAAGGACAGTGATTCTAAGTGGCCAGTTGAGTGCCCCTTGGGTTTTGTAACTCACTTCTCTAGGTAGCCAGAGGGAGAATTTTGCTTAAGAACCTTTGATAAGAGCTGCTTAGAGGAGGAAAATGTCATTCATCTGGGGGAACTTCTATAGCAAAGAAACTTCCAGCCACCCAGGGAAAACATTTTGCAATTTAACTAGGTCTTCTAAAGTGAAACCCAGCTCATATGTGAACTGGGTGTAATGACTCTTCCGAAGGTGGTTGTGCGGGAGTGGATGGGATAATGGTGGTAAAATGCATAGTCCACTGTTAGCATGCAGCGAGTAGTAATAAAGAGTGGATAGAGGCACTGGAGATGACTCTATAGTAATAGCACTTACTGCTCTTTCAGCTGACCAAGAGTTCAGATTCCAGTATGGACATCAGACAGCTCAAAAATGCCTGTAACTCCAGCTCCAAGGAATTGGACACCTCCTGCTGGTCTCTGGAGGCATCTGTGTGCACACGTGCATACATTCGTACACACACACACACACATGCATATACATGCATGCATACTCACAGAGAGAGAGAGAGAGAGAGAGAGAGAGAGAGAGAGAGAGAGAGAGAGAGAGAGAGAGACTGGATAGAAGAGGAAGGAAGTGAACTGGGTGTATTGATTGATGTAGTGGTACCCCCCCCCCCCCCCCGAAGTTCTACAGAGGGCATCTTAAGGTTTCTATTGCTGTGAAGAGACACCATGACCAGGTCAACTCTTACAAAAGAAAACATTTAAGCCGGGCGGTGGTGGCGCACGCCTTTAATCCCAGCACTCGGGAGGCAGAGGCAGGCGGATCTCTGTGAGTTCGAGGCCAGCCTGGTCTACAAGAGCTAGTTCCAGGACAGGCACCAAAGCTACAGAGAAACCCTGTCTCAAAAAACCAAAAAGAAAAAAAAGAAAAAAAGAAAACATTTAAATGTAATGGCTTACTTCAGTTCAGAGGTTCAGTCCATTATCATCATGGCAGGGAACATGGCCTGCGGGCAGAAGTGGTTCTGGAGAAGTAGCTGAGAGTCTTACACTATGTAGGCAGCAGGAAGTAGTCTGTTATACTGAGAGGAGCTTGAGCAAAAGAAACCTCAAAGCCTACCCCCAGAGTGATGCATTTCCTTCAAAATGATCACATCTACTTCAACAAAGCCACACCTCCTAATAGTGCCATTCCCTTTGGGGGGCCATCCTCTAAACCACCACAGAGGCTTTACTGCATTGTTAACTAGAAGTGAATATTTGCTCTTGAACTTCCTGCCTTCAGAACCACCAGCTAAATGAAACTGCAAGGCAGCCCGTATGTAATATTAGGCATAGAAACTGAAAACGGATGGAGGTAGAAATGGGGAATTTAACCTGCAGTTTTGAAATGCTGCTTACAAAAACTATATGAAGGAAGAACATTTAGAGGAAACTGAGCAGTACCTGCCCAAAAACCAGAGGGGCTGGGAGAAGTACCCAGAGCTCAGGTGTGTCTGACAGGGGCTGTGTGAAGGAGTTGAGAGCAGTAGGGCTGGCCTGGGAGATTTTTTTCTTTTATATAGTCTTAGTAGAAATGCGTGGTATGTGGATGTCTTGCCTTGGGGTTGTTTTACTCGGGTCACATACACTATTAAATGACAAAAAGGGGGTTTGCAACTTGTAAAGCTAATCTGAAATGAAACAGTATTTATCATAATTCATCCGCCAGCGCTTTGTGTTGGAAGGTGGAAGTGTAAACCAGGAGTCAAGCACTGGGGTTGTCACATGCAAGGCCCTTTGTCTACCCCCAGACCCTCTGCCCCACCCTAAACGAGGTTTAGATTAATCTGCCTTTAACTTCTTAAAGATTAGCAGAGTCTGGTTTAAAATGTATGCAATGTCTATGTCTGTCCCTCACACAGGCGTCCAGGTTGAATATGGAGCTGTAGGGCATGCTTCATTTCGAAATCTCCTGGGGAAGGGTCTGGTCACTCAAGGAAAGGGCAGAGTAGTAGCATGAAAACCTTCTCCCCTGATGGATAGATCTTCTCAAGGTCATTTGAAGGACTTATAGTTGGTCATCTTCTGCATATGGGTAGATTTATTATTTTTGTTTTCCCCCCCTCTCTCCTTCAGTCATTCCATAGGTGTCCTTGGTAATGTCTCAGTTTTTGAAATTACATTTTGACTCCAATTCATTGCTTCATTTACATAGTCCCGGTCTGATGTGTGACCTTGTTCTCTGTCACACAACTGTGTGCCAGATGGACACAACCTTTCCCCTTTTATTTTTTTCTCCCAAAGCACTTCCTGTCCTAGGTGTACCGAATGCTCCCTTTCTTGTGACAACCAGAAAATTGTCACAGGTCCTCTAAAGCAGAAAGGGGGGTAGCGTGGGAATGAAGTGTGCACCAAAAAGCTAGATGCAAAGTTGCTGTTTAACGAAGAGAAGACAGAGTACTCAATTCAAAGTAGGCGAAGACTGACTTTGGATTATATTTTGTGAAAGAAAATAAAAAATAAAGTAGTTGGTAGCCCAGGACCCTTTCAAACAGATGGATATTGTAGGTGTAGACGTTGAGATTTCTAGGAGAAAGGGCATTAAGTAAGTAAACCTTACTACACCTGTCACTATACATCTAAACATGAAATATTCTTTGGTTTGGATGACGAAAATGAGTTTTTACCTGTGACTGTGTGTTTTTATGATGAGTGGTTGGTCTAGGTGCTTCCTAGTGTGGAAGTGTGAGTGTGCAGGAGTTAGAGGCAAGTATTGGATATCTTCTCTTGATGGTTCTACACCTTCATTTTTTTTGAGACAGCATCTCTCTGTGAACCCGAAGCTCATCAACTCGGCTACACTGGCTGGCGGATGAGCTTGAGGGATCTGCTTGTCTTGCCCACCATTGCTTGTCCTGACCAATGCTGGGGTGGCTGGCACAAGCCCTGATGCCCAGCTTCTCACATGAGTTCTGGGCAACTCAAGTCTTCATACTTGCTGAGCAGATACTTCAGACTAAGCTATCTTTCATGTTCCAGGAAAATGACTTTTACAATGA